TTTTTATATTTATGTTTTTAGCTGAGCTTTTTAAAAACTTGAGTTCATTGTTCTAGCCAGTTTGGCACAGTAGATAGAGTGTCATCCTGCAGACCGAAGGGTTCTGGGTTCAGTTCTGGTCAAGGGCACATACCTCACTTGCAGGCTCGATCCCTGGCCCTGGTTGCGGCTCCTGTGGGAGGCAACCAATCGATGTGTGTCTGTCTCTCTGTCTCTCCCCCTCCCTTCCACTCTCTCTAAAAATCAGTGGAAAAATGTCCTCTACTGGAGATTAACAACAACACCACCAACAAAAACTTGAGTCCGTTATTATATATCCAAATCAAATTACACAAGCCAGAGCCCGGCTGCAGCATGTGTGTGCTCTGATGAATAAACACAAACAAGATGCAGGAACAGCACCCTGCACGCACCTGTATCCCTCCTTCCCAGTCTTGCAATGGCAGGTTAATGTGAGTCCTCAGCTGAAGATTAACAACAACACCACCAACAAAAACTTGAGTCCATTATTATATATCCAAATCAAATTACACAAGCCAGAGCCCGGCTGCAGCATGTGTGTGCTCTGATGAATAAACACAAACAAGATGCAGGAACAGCACCCTGCACGCACCTGTATCCCTCCTTCCCAGTCTTGCAATGGCAGGTTAATGTGATAAATTTATATTAGAGAAAGTTTTCTTGCTTAATTTCAGTTTTGGTTAGTTCTTGCCCATATAAAATAAAATTTTACATTCATGACCAGAAACATGAGTAATAATTAGATATAATCGCTCAATATGGAAACAAGATTTTTTTTTTATTCTTTCTTCAAGCTTCTGGACTATTTTAATAGCAAAAATCTTAATATTGCCCAAACCAAATTAGCTATTTTTTAGAAGTTGCCATTTTCAATTACTTTTCTAGTATTGAGAATTGTCTCAATATTATAAAGCCGAAACAAAGTACAGGAATATGTTGATGATGATTTAAAATTGCAACTATTACCCCTATCCCTTGATTTCAAATTTTTATTAGTCAATTGCTTGTTGTTTTTATTGATGGGTTTTGATAAGTAGCATTATAATTTGGTCTTATAAAATGAGTTATTACTAACAAATCTTTTTCTATTGTATATAATGGAGATTGTATTTAGAGTTTATTAGACAAGAGATCTACAATTACTAGTAGCTAGCGGTGGACATTACTTTGAATAAAGCACTTTTGATGTTTCTCTTGAAATTATCATATTTTCTTTGATTACAAAATAAGCATTATTAACTGATTCCCCCAGTAAATAATATCAAAACCACTGATCTGGCCCAATCCATTAGCTTTACAAATTGAAAAATTAAAGGTCAGTTTAACTGTCTTGCTCAAAGTTATACAGCTAGAAAACTGTAGTTGCCAAAGTTCCTAATACTTAGTTCACTGTTCTCTCTATTACTCGTTACCTCATCTCTGAGTTCCTATAGTACATTTAGTTTATGTCATTCCATTTAGCATTTAATGACATGGTTTGTGTACATTATTTATTTATTTATTTATTTATTTATGCAACAGGAAATTTTCTGGGTGCTAGGCACTCTTATAGGCACAGGATACCATCTCTGAATCTAAAAATTGTGCTGAAAATAAAGTAAGAAATGTGATTCCATTCAACCTCTATTTAATTTTGGTTGAATGCACACCTGCAATTAGTCATTGTATCACTGGGTGGTTTTAATATTTTACTAACAAGAGCTTTTCTGTTTATGGCTATGTTTCAGGGGAGTAAAAACATTCTTTAATATTTTGAAAGGTGAGAAAAACAAATAATTTAACTCAAAGCACTCTGCATACCATGAACCTGTAAATGTGTTTGGCAACCACAAGCACAAAGATGTATGAAACAAGGAATGTGTGTGGTAGGTGCTGTTACCTTTATGTAAACAGCACTGTAGAATGAGAGGAATGAGCAAGCAACTCTAAGCAGGGGGCCAGAGGGGGCTTCACGGAGGAGCTGGCCTGGGGTTTAATTGAGGACCGGTAAGTTGCATTAAGAAAGTAGGAAGAATTCTTTTGAAGCCCAGGAAACAACACATGTATAAGCATAGAGGTGTGAGTGGTTCTAGTATTTCCAAGAAAGTTTAACGCAACAGGTTCCTAACTAACTAGGGGGTCTTAGGAGGAGTGGTGAGTGAACGTTTGTACACACCATTAGACAATTGAAGAATGGAAGTTAGGAAATGTCCGAACTTCTTATTCTGTATAGGTATTCCTCGTGCTTCTACCTATTTCTGCCCCTAAAAGTTAAGGTCTTTGAGAACACTGATGTATTTGTACTTCCCAACCCCATGGTGATGTGTGCAGTGCTGAGCATGGCCAGGGCTCAGTGCATGCTTGCTCACTAAGTGTTCCCTTCATTCACTCAGGTATTTTTTACTGCAACATGTGTAAGGCTCTGTACTTTGTGCTATTAGAAATAGAAACTTGTGATACAAAACAAAAAATAGTAGATTTTTTTGTCTGTTATGAGACTAATAAATCCATGTACTCACAGAGTTTACATTTTTGTCAGAAGAGACAGGCAATAACAAACAGTAAAATATGTAATATGTTACTGATACATACTAAGCCGCAGCCATGGGCAAACTACGGCCCACGGGCCGGATCCGGCCCGTTTGAAATGAATAAAACTATTGAAAAAAAAAAGACCGTACCCTTTTATGTAATGATGTTTACTTTGAATTTATATTAGTTCACACAAACACTCCATCCATGCTTTTGTTCCGGCCCTCCGGTCCAGTTTAAGAACCCATTGTGGCCCTTGAGTTGAGTCAAAAAGTTTGCCCACCCCAGGGGAAATTATAAAGCAGAAAAGGGCTATGTA